ACGCACAGTCAAGCTTGGTTTTCGGATAAGGCAACAATGACGATGTTGAGTAGCACCAGCAGAGCGCACATCACGGTACAAGCAGTATTAATGTTTTTGAGACATTCTTCTCTTTCCGCCTTTTTTTCGTCAGCCTCCGCTCCTTCAGCACCTTCTCCAAGATCGTTGATGTTTCGGGAATACTGGTAGACGAGCATAGTCATCACAATCGCCTCGATGACAATGCAGATGGAAAGCAAGACCACCCTACAGAACAGAAGAATATAATGCCTTATGTATAAAGTTAAAACTTTTGGTCCAACACATAAAATTCTCTCACCTAGAGCTTTCGACCAGTCACTCTGGTCTTCCTCAGTAGACTGACCCAGTGAAGCTTGTCACGTGGGTCAAAGGTATCTGGCAGACGATGTCGGCCCCCGTCGCGGTTCAATGTAGGGTGATGGGCCCTGATGTATATGGCTTCCTTCACCCCTCTCAAGAAATAGTCTTGTTCAGTATCTAAAATCCTTGCAGTGTCAAGTGAAACAAAATGTCCGACTGGTCGAAAGCTCTAGGTGAGAGAATTTTTTGTGTTGGACCAAACGTTTTAACCATTATGTAACTACCAACAAAGATGAACTTTCATGATAGTATAATGCCGTATGTGAATCACCTACATGAATCCTTCAATTGTCTGAAGTTTGTATGCAAATCTGAAATGTCACACTGGGGTTACTCTACGACGTTTTAATCAGAACACATTACTTACTTGAAACAACTTTGCAATGCGCTTGGTATACGCTGCCTTTTGCAACAAGCATACTCATCTCTTGTAGTTATAGGGTCTGATCCCTAGAATAAAAACCTAGTGAACTGTTCTATGTCCTACTACATTTCTTACCTTGCAATCTCGTGGCCTGTGTCGACACCGCCCTCTGACCTGGTGATCGCCACTAGCTGGGCGACGTTACTGGTGAACAGGCTGGTGTCTACCAGTCCCTCGATATAAGTCTTCATGGAGGCGTAACGGTCACGACTCAGCGTCTGTTATTCTTCGCGACATTATTTATGTTTTGAAATGCAGTTTTGGTGTTATACGAGAAGGAGAACAAGATCGATCTTTGAAAATCGGCAGAACGCGTCGACTCTGCCAGTCACCCAAGAGACACTGATACCAGCACAGCAAAAACGGCATGTGAGCATTGCCTTGCCAGCGGTGAATACAAGTAAGGCAATGAAAAGCCGCAGAAACAGAAACCACGTGAACCTTTATGACCCGGTCATTGTTTTCAACTTGTACACACAGTCACCCAACACCACCAGACTGACCCAGTCAGACCAGTACAAGCCGTCCTACTAATAAACGTATCATACATACGCTAACTTGGTCGTACAAAGCTGACTGTAAAAGTGATGACATTTCACATATTATTAGATTTACGATGTTTCAGTTGACGGGAAGTCAATAGTTCACACCTAGCCTTACCTGTTAAGGCATTGTGTATCATTAGATAGTTTTAAACAATGTTTACAGTTAGATGATCAAGGGTTAGGTGTAACAAGTCGTTCGGTGTAACGTAGCCAGCTTCAGCCTCGCCGCGTACCTGCCATTAAATAGAAGCTGGTGTGTTACGCCGAAGGGTGGTTATACTGGCTATACTGATACAGATGGTGTGTGCATGCATGGCGCTAGGTGTGAGAACAAAGACAAAGGTTTCTAAGCCTCAAGGTCATGTGTGCATCGTAAATTTTTGAAGACCTTCGGATTTCCAAATGATTGGGGAGGTAGTTATAGCTGGCCTACATGTACGTGTATGATATAATATAGCCCCAAACTTAAAGTTGTAAGTCATGACATTTATTGTGTGAACCGTTTACCGTCCGCAGAAAGTTCCGGCTTACCTGTTTGTTTTGGACGTCATAACAAGTTAAACAACCGAGACCGGACTGATCCAGTCTGTCCAGTTCAAACCGGCCCGTGCATAAGTTCCGCAGAAAGTTCCGGCTTACCTGTTTGCTTTGTACATAAGAACCAACTAAAACCAGACTGATCCAGTCAGACCAGTTCAAACAGGCCTGTGTTTACAGTCATAGCCACGCTACAAAGCTGCTGCTGACTGTAAAGATGACGGCATATTTCGCATAGACATACGACGTTACAGTACGTTGACGGGACGTCATTTAGTCCGAGTTTTGCCGGGGGAGGGACGCCAGCGAAACCGTCTCTCCCCGGCAAAAATCTATCGGCGGCAAAATCGTCCCTCCGCGGCAAAACTCGCATCGCTCACCGAAAAATATAACGCCGCGCCCTACAAGTCTGCGAAGGAGGCTAGCTTTAGCCAGGTGTGAGAACAAAAGCAAGGTGTCAAGTTTCTAAGCCCCATGATCCTCTGCGCATCGTCTATTTTTGAAACCCTGGGACTTTCCAAGTGTCATGGGCATGAGTCACTGAGACAGCATCGCATATAAAAGCACGGGCACCCGGACAGGTACATTGTACTTGAGAAGCGTCTGAATGTGCAAGCACGAAGCTCTGTTAATGAAAGATACCATCGTTGGCACTCTGCAACTGCGTTTGTGATCCACGGAAAAGTTCGATGCAACGTTCGGCAAGCTCAAATACAGCCACAAGTAAGCTGGTCAGGGTATGTGAATTTCTGGGACATCACCTTTAAAGTACTGACGCCTTGTATGATACAATAACTCAGGAGCCGTGGCCGTGTACTCTCCATTCAATTCACGTTGATCCCCGGGTACTGTATCGATACGAAAACAACTTCCGTGAAGAGTATTCAGCCTGACATTGACTCACTCCTGCAACAAAAGACTTGCAATTGCATTACTGAACAGACTACTGAAGCTGTGTTATTTTTTATCACTATATACTTCGTGTATGTAAAATCTATGATTACATAGACACCTCAAAACATACTATCGCAGCATGTCGGAGAACGTAGATCACAATTCGGACCAAGAAGAGCGCTTACTAGAACTCTGTAGGGACGTGCGGCGTGCCATAGACCAAGAGGACATCGACAGCTTGAAGAAAGTGTCAGCCTTGAATAAGGACAATGTTAATGTCGAGTTTCGACACGAGCACGATGGGGACTGTATGGGAACCACCCCTTTTATGTACACGTGTTTTCAGTATAGAGGATCGCACTCACAGAAGTTGGCAGAAATTTTGGAGTATCTAGCTAGTGTAGGTGCAGACGCTAACCTGGTAGCAAGGAGCTACCATGATAACCGCACAACGCCCCTTATCGTTGCCATTAACTGGGATGATGTGGAATTGGTCCGTATACTGCTGTCGTGTGGAGCCGATACAAACGCCCGCGATGACACGGAAGCATTTCCTCTTATGGAGACGCTCTGGCACGCGCCAGACAGTGTGAACCATGTGAAAATCACCGAGTTGTTACTTCTGAAAGGTGTGAACGTTGACGCGCCCACTGGCAACGGCAGGACTCTTCTTCAAGATTCTATCGATAACAGAAAAATTTTTGCCTGTGAAATGCTGGTCAAAGCCGGGGCAAATTTATCCGTCTGTGGGGAAGATGGCGTCACCCCTCTACATTCGGCTGCCCAGTGGGGTGATCGGTCAGTTATCAAAGCCTTCGTCGATGCGGGGGCCGACATCGATGCTAAAACAGCAGGACTTGGACAGACCCCACTAGACGTGTACTGGACGAGTGTGCATGAGAATAGTTGTGAGCTCGACTACGAGATCGTGTCACTACTCCAAGACAAAGAACAGGACGAAACACGCCCGGGAAAGCGAAAACAATCAAAACAGAATCCGACCAAGGACAAGGCAGCATCAGCCAAGCGTACTAACAGGTGATTTTCTTCTTTATTATTTGACTTCTTATGCATTGAAAATAACAGAATTATAGAAAGAATTACTGCACGGTCTTTCTCCGTTAACACACACACACACACACACACGCACACGCACACGCACACGCACACGCACACACACACACACACAAACACACACACACACACACACACACACACGGGACGATGACAAAATAACGTGAAAAGATTTCATTATTTACTTTCTGGTTCATTTCAGCTGCTAATGACGTCCATTTCATCCTCCATGAACGTTAACTCCTTTACAGGTCATCCTCACAGTCAGAACGCCTGCCTTCTGAGCTGACACGACTTCAGCAACTGGCGACCCAGTTGCTGGGCCCACAGTTCAACCTCGTCCCGTATTCCGAAGACGACGAACAGGGGAGAATCACACGTATCCGGTCCCTCATCAGAGCAGAGCACTTCTCCAGCAAAGTCAACTACAGTCTGGACTCTGCCGCGGACGATCTCATCTATCAGAGAAAACGGTCAGTGTGTAAGATAGAATGGCCAGGCGGCTACGGTTCTGGCTTCTCAATAGGAAAGAACACAATCCTAACCAACAATCACATCTATGAGATGATGGAGAAGGCATCAAAACAACCAGACGAAAGGTCGGCCGACCCCAGGAACTACCGTGCCATATTTGTGTTGTCTGAACATTTCGAAGTTGTTTGCCAGATTGCTCCTAAACAGCCCTTGTCGCGTGATGGAGACTTAGACTATGCCATAGTCGAACTTGTCCCTCAAGAGGACAACAATAGCACCAGTGACATCATTCCCTTGGGGCAGTTCATCTCAGATAATCTAGAGAAGGATGGCATGGTAGTTGTCGTAGGTCATCCAGGTGGGGGGAGAAAGAAGATCGATTTCTGTCCTATCTCCGGACTGGATGAGAAATACATAATCCACGTCCTTTTTGGCAACCCTAACGTCCCGCGGCCGGACGTTCACAGGGCCACGTACCATACAGGTGTTATGTTCCATGGGTCGTCTGGGTCTGCAGGGTTCGACAGGAATGGTAACCTGGTGCTCATGCACACCAGAGGCTTTTTCCCAATAGAAAATCAGGCCAGTCTGATTGAGGAGGGTGTGCGTCTCTCTAGCATCAGGGAACACGCTCGACAAAACCTGGCCCCTGAGGTTTTCAATGAGATCTTTCCACAGCGACAGGGCGGCTTTTCCTTTGGACACTAACACTGAAAAGCTTTATAAATGGGGAAGTGAAAAATCCTGAGCGCATTTGAGATTGCAAAAGGAAGGTAACCATTTTTTTCACACCAAAGTGACTGTATATAGCCTTCAATACTTAAAACTGGCAGTAAGCTTAAAACAAGGTTCAATCTGTAAAATTCAATTTCTTTATTGGTAATATGTCCTCAGTGCACAGTTGCAGCAATAGTTGTTATCTATTATATAATATCTTCTCCGTACAGTGACACTTTATCTACAGGTTGCTAGGTGTACATAGTCAAACATCATGCAAATTTAACTCAAATCCTCAGCCCTGTTTCACAACAGGTGCACACAACAAGTCCTCTGTGGCAACAATAGCACGCCTTACTTAAAGAAGGCAGCTTAAAATCTATCTACAATCATGGCAGAACAGCAAAGCCATTTATCTAGAAGGGTCTACCCCAAATCAAATACTATTTTTCCCTTTTATAAGAAGGGTTATTACACGTTTGAAGAATTCAAATCAAACTATCACACAAAATTTAAACTTTAAAGCATTCACAGAGACCTTGATTTCTAGGAATGCTGAAGGGAGCAGGTATACTACAAGTTTTGTCATAGTCTTCTTAGTTGTTTCATACATTGTAACATAAAGAGGTGTAGGCTGTTCAGTAGTGTATTACTGTAGCACCTCCATGTCAGAATTCTACTACAGTATCTTTTGCCAAGCTCTATCTAGGCTTTGTCAATGGAAGACAACATATAAAAAGCAAAATCCATTTGTTCCTTAGTACTTAAGGTCTCGCTTAGGGATGCACCAAGTCCACTGCTACTCTTAAACAAAATAGTTTGAGAACGAATTTGGGTGAAAATGTCTATTTTGCACCAAAGTCTTGACAATTTCATTCTCCCCACTAATTTGGATTATTTTGACTATCACACATTTGTGATAATTTAAAAAGAAATTCCTCTCTGCCAGTCATTGTGCATACATACACTGTGGGACAAAATCGAGGATAATACAACATGTAATGGCTACTGGCAGTTGAAATACAACATAGCCACAGTGTACTACTTGGCCTGCATAGACAGTATTGCACTTGCAAAGATTTTGACAAAATGTTTTCAAGATGCATTAGGTTTCTTACAGAAAGCAAGCGTGTTTAACAACTTTAGTGCGGTCATTGTGAAATTTAGAAGAGAAACTTATGATAAGTTACTGTGAAAGCATCTCACCTACTGAGCCAACTTATTGTAAGTCTGTTATACGGACAATAAGACTTCCAGACCATAAATGCGTTTTCCTGCATTTTAAGTTTTGATTGAGTAGCCAACATACATACAGACGTGTTCATCCTCTACATGCACTTAAAAATGTCTACTACTGTGTCACTGGTACTACATTTGTCAACTCTTGAATTGAAATTGGTTTAGGTTTTGTGTATTATTCTTACATACGGTATGATCCTATTTGAAGGGTGAGCAAGTCCAAGGTGTTTAGCATAGCTCTGTGCACAATACTTGTTAAGACACCAACCTTCCCTTACTCTAGTTATAATATCACCATAGATTCAAGCTGGGGACAAATGAGAAGACTTAAGAAAAAGACTAAAACGAGACTGAAAGTTTATGAGGAGGGCTGCAGTAGTCTCTTGATTTCTGCAGCCCTGTCCTGCAGTTCTGGGACCGAGTCCTTGCCCAGTTTTTCTGCAGACTTCTGCAAGCAGCTGTGAGAATCAGGAGGCAGTATGGAATCCTTGTCTGGACCTGTAGGGAAATATAACAACCAGTTAAGCCTCGGTCATAACCCGCCTTACGTGCTTTTTGTCCGTACGTTTTTTTTTGAGGCTACATCTGCTAGGTGAAAACGTGGGGAAGGAGTGGCGTTGATGCACGTCACACGCCCGCCGTGAACGTACGGTCTCTGTGCGATTGCAACTTTACCGTAAGGAGGCCGTACTCACACGCGCGTCTTACATACGCTACGTACGGGGCACGCGCGTCGCCCGTACTCGCACGCACGGGTGGTGAATCCGCAGACCGCACGTAGAAAAAGTTTTACTTGCACTTAATGTTCTATGGCATGTCTGCGTGCTCCCAAATCCGTAGGATTCCATACGGAGGCGGTACTCACCACGCACGGATGCCCCACGTTTGCCCACGTTTTTGCACGTAGACAGCACGCAGAAGCACGTACGGCGGGATGTGACCAGGGCTTTACACAAGCTCAGTCTAAGATTAACCCTGCTGCTTTATTCCATAACCAATACAAAGTCTATCAGAGCTCAGTTCTGAGTGGTCACAAACAGGTATTGCTGCATGTCGGCAGAACGTACTGCGCCTGCGCAAAACCCCCGTTTTTCACGATTTTCCTTGGATTACTGGTCAACGTTACATCAGAATTTTGCCTGTTGCAGACTAAATTTTTTCCGACATAACATTTGGAAACTACAGACGGGATGTTAACCTTATATCTGCAAATACGACCTTATATGAGAAGTTTTGCCAAAGTGCTATGCACAATACATTACGGGTTTTTTGCAGGTGCAGTACGTTCTGCCAAGTGTTTAGGTATTGCAGATTTTGACTTGAAGTCCCTATGCAAGAACATGGCAACCATCTGAATATGATTTAACATGCTGCAACTAAGCAATTTTATGTACAGATAAAAAACTTGCATTCAGTAGAGAGAGAATACTGAAGAAGTGTTACCATATACTTACCAGACAATGTTTTTAGCAGCTTGGAGGCAACACTACTGGCCTCTAATCTGATGGTGGTGTACTTTGTGTTTTCTGTGGAGAACACATATTATAATCATCCCATGAATACACTGGGAACATTTTGTAGTATGTTTCATACACAAAATATGAAAGGCAACATCAAAGATAGTATTGATACTGTCATTGCTACATGTATGTGCTGTAAGTTATCTTTCATCACACTAAAGATACAGCATCAAACTGGGATCGCACAATGTGAGGTTTTAAAGGTTATTTTGGCACAATATAAAACTTGGTAAACAAATCTACAGTCATGTTTTAACATTAGTATTTTACATTCTGATCAAGTAAGAAATCAATGAAGTAAGGCTATAGTACTAGGGCATAATTCATTTTTAGACCACACCTAATTTCTTGGTTAACGGATTCGCCCGCTTCGATTTTTTCTGATTTGCAAATATAAATAAAAATTCTGAATCAACTGCAAAATGCTCATATTTTGCCCTGAACAGTTGAAAACAGTCCTTTTCATCCTAGTTGTTACAGTTATTCCATCTTTCAATGCAATGATATCATTAAAAGTTCAAAATTCATTGTTTAAATTTTGAACCAGCCTGGTGTGTTGACTTCATGGCTCCTATCGTACCATTTTGGGCCATAACAGGATGCCTAGGCCTGTTTTTATTTATTTATTTTTTTTGCCTGCCCGCTCCATTATTTTTCTAGACAAATCCGTTAACCAAGAAATTAAATTGGTGTGGCCTTATAATCATTGTGATTTAATTCATAGATACTTATTTCTGTTACATGTACTGTTACATGTACTGTTATTTGTCAGCATGAAAGTTCATCTGAGTTGGTAAATTACATTATGAAAAACTTAAACTTTTCTCCAACTCGAAATTTGACTCACCAGAAATTTTGGACCGAATCACTCAGTCTTCCTCAGCTATCTGACCCAAATGCTGTGGACATGTGATTTTTCCCACGTGTGACGTCAGCAAAGGGTCAAAGGTTGTCTGAAGTCGATATCGCCCCCCGTCCCGGTTGAGCGATGGTTGAAGTGCCCTGATGTATATGGCCTTTGACCCTTTGATGACGTCACACGTGGGAAAAATCACGTGTCCACAGCATTTGGGTCAGATAGCTGAGGAAGACTGAGTGATTCGGTCAAAAATTTCTGGTGAGTCAAATTTCGAGTTGGAGAAAAGTTTAAGTTTTTCATACTGTTATTTGTGTTAAGGTTTTTGTTGAACTTGTGTGAAGCATTGCATATTCTCACCTAGACATTGGCACAGAGGGGGTATGAGTTGTTCCACAAACTTGCTGAGTGTTGTTGTGTCCTCATTGGTTAACGTGACACCATCTTGTAACATCCACAATCTAAGGACAAAAAACAGACAATATCAGTCTGAGAATAATTCTAGAATCTAAAATTGAAGAAAACTCACAGAATACTCCTAAAACAAGTAAAATTCCACGAGACACAAAATATTGAATCAAAAACAATACAAGGAGTACTAAGATATTTCCCAAGTTCACTTCAATAACGACCTGTTTTGCTTTTGAACTGGTTTAAAATTTGTAAGGCAAAACTATTGAAATGTTACTGACCAAATATATCATAATTAATAAGTCTTGTGTCCTTATGATTGTGGGTAAGTGAATTCCACATATAGATATCTTTTTGCACATTATACAAGTCAAATGTATCAAAAGGCCAAATTCTATATGATACGCCGGAATATACGATAATGCGCTATACAATTATGCATTGTTTTTACAATTGAGTGAATTAATGGTAAATGGTTTGGTGTTTTAGAATTCTATACCTGAAATATACAATTATAAGAAATACAAATAAGTGGAATCCCCTGTACATGTATAGCATAGTGTAGAGCTTGGAGTGGAAGCTGGACCCACCTATCTATGTAACACGCTGTTGCCTTGAGTACTGCACACTGGACCTTCCATGTACTGCTGGTCAGGGCTGTACACAGCAGAGATCCAAACTGTTCCTGGTACTCTGCTGCAAGGGAGCAAAGAACATGTACCAAAACGTTAACTGTGTGTTAGAGATCCTTAGAATGCTACCCACAATAGGCAATACTACCTGTGAACAGCCTTTTTCAGACACGCTTTTGAACTGTGAACTGAGTATGTGATGTACATGTACTGTAAATCTTGACCTGTTGGCAGATGTTTTCTTTTCACTGTTCATTTTTGCAGTGGCCTCCCCACAATACCGGTGCAAAATAATAGCTCAATTGGTAGAGTGCTCGCTTTGTAACCGGGAGGTCGTGAGTTCAAACCCCGGCCGGGTCATACCAAAGACTTTAACAATGGTACACACTTCTTTCTCTGCTTAACACTCAGCACATATGAGAAAGAGTGTGGGAAGGTCAAACACACAGCACTACCAGCGGACCAGCCCCCTGCTGTAGTGCATTGCACAACTGTGTGTCGCCCAAGGGCTACGAAATGGAGATGGGCACCACCCTACGCTCGGGCAAGAGCACGGGAGACCTTCTTCTTCTTCTTCTCCCCACAATTGTTTCAACCACGGACTTTTACTGTGCAATTGTTTCAACAACAAACTTAAAACAACTTAGCAATACACCTACATGTAGGCAATACACTGTGTGTGATGTAAATCTCTATAAAACATGTGTTAACTGAGTATGTTGGGATATTTTGCAATTTCATGGGGGAAGAGCTATTTACAATGCTCTTTGCAAATGGAATATTGAGTAGAATAAAGGATTTATTGATACAAAACTTACCTTGTGTTTGTTTTTCTTGTGGCCAAGCCTTGCCCAGTCCTTCGTATGAAGTGATGAGGAAGTCCTCCATCAATCCAGGAGACTGTTTCTCAATCTCATCCTCATCAGTTTCTTTGTTCCCATTTCCATCTGTGCTCTGTTGGAAGGATGTTATATTTAGTGTCTACTTGTGTCTTTGTGCTTATGTCTGTGCCTTATTTTAAATGTCTCAAACATAAAGGTAAAAGTAGTCCCAGAGCCTTTTTCAGACCATAATGCCAGCGGGTAGTTAATAAACACAGTGTCAGAACCTTAGATTCTATACATGTAAGTCAACAAACGTAACCAAATGACCACATTGCCATCTATACATTGTACTGATAGGGCTTGAAATTCATCTTTGGGAATAGGTGCACAGGTGCACCCACAACCTAGAAAATTGGGTGCACCAAAATTTTTTGGGTGCACTGCATAAGATATGAATGTAAGCAAAAACTAATTATGTTTCGTTTATTAAGAAATTAGAACAATGATATTATTTTTCTGACACTTAGATGTTAAGAATATGCTGTACATTTAGGTTTTTAACATCTTTACATACGTAAATCTACGAAAGTATTTGGGTGCAC